TATCTTGGGCGAGTTCTTCATGCCCCAATACACATTTATAGCTAATGTATTCATCGTCTAAATAATGCAACAACAAAGAAGGTTAGAAATCAGCTTTATTAAAAAAAAATTTTTCTATGAAACCTTCTCAAAAAAGATTATAAATTTGCTTTTAATTCAAGTTTGTATATATTTACATTTGTAAACCAAATTTTGTGTTGCTGAAATATTTAGCTTTTTTACATTTGATAAATTCTGGAAATAGAACATTATTATCTATTATTATTATTATTATTATTATTATCTATTATTATTATTATCTATTATTATTATTATCTATTATTATTATTATTATATTCTGGAAATGAGACTTTCCTTGTCATTATTTGGAAAATATTAAAAAAAAAAAAAAAAAAATGGAGGTACAGTTGGCCTCAAGAATCAAAGAATGATATCTGCAAATTGAATTTAAACTCTATCTGGGACATTTTTCATTAACTTGGCTCTTATGCTCTAAATAAAGGCATGAATCCATTTCTCCCCTTCAGCTGTGGGTAAGTAGTAAGGCAGCTGGAGCACCTTAGCTCTAAGGCAGTCTCTCTTGGGTGTTGGGCTCACATCCCGGTTCTATAAAAATTCACTTTCTGGTAATACCATGACAACATTAGTCGATGTGGTTGTGACTAGATGCTCTCTCTAAGGAGTCTGGCAGAATAAACAAACAAAAAACCAAAACTAATACATTATAAAGCAAAACATAGAAAAATTCTATCATATTAGACTGTATCAAAAGTATATTAACTGTACATATAGTTGTTAAGTATGAATGTATTTTAGAGCTTCTTATGGTATCTTTCAATGATTCGTGTTCTTTGGAATACTTTCAAGTGTTGGTGACCAAGTTCTCCTATACCTCGCATTTTAAGTCACTATAAATAATAATTGGTGATTTTTCTACTTCTGGGCTTAGTTTCAAGAGAAAACGCCACCATTACAGGTTTTGGCAGTTTGGTCAGTTATTGCTTAATTTCTTTTAACTTCCCAAATTTCTGTAAACAACTTCAGCGTCTTTGAGACTTTCTTTAAAATAATACCTTAAAATTGTCAAAATCTCAATACTTGTAACTGCCATTATCATATCCAAAACAAAATTTAATCCATTTTAACAATGTCTCGTTATCATTATTAACTTTCTAATTGATTTTTTTGAAGCTTTGTCTCTTGATATCATTTACGTTCATCAGTTTCTTTTCTCTTTATAAACTTTTGTAGGACATATAACGCATAAGAAAATTTAGACAAAAATAAGTAAATTTCCATCACTGCCTTATTAGACAAAGCAAGTGGGGTGTTATTATGAATAATAGCAAAAAAAAACCTACAATGAAAAAATAAGATTTTTAGTCAATGTTTTAAAAAAAAAAATGTGTATATGAAAAAACATTGATGAATATGAAACCAACATGTCAGTTCAGTAGTTAATAACTAGTACAAAACATGTTCAAAATATAGATTACCACCACCAAAATACCAAGATGTTATAGTCTAACCAAAACACACACACAGAACGGAGGGATTAACATTGCCTGGTGAGTCTTTCATGACCTTAAGCAATCTTCACACCAACTTCTGATATTAAGCACCCTTCCCCCATAAATAGATCAAATTTAATATATATATATGTAGGGGACTCGTGCATCGTCTTCAGGTGTGTGCATGACATATTATGTGGTGTGTATGTTTTTTAAAAAAAAATCAAAATCAAATCAAAACTACTTTTTAAAATATCCAAATAATTTTTGCTATTCTTTTGATTCATAAAACAACAAAAAAGCCAAATATTGAAATTCAATAATGAAGTAATTGAATAGCTTTTTTTTTTTTTTTTTTTCCTGGATTGAGCTTAAGAATATTAGCCAAAAATCATATGATTATAGGTTCTACTTCCTCTGGTTGCTAATGTATTTACATATTTAATATTTAGAGAAAAAAAAATGAAGTTGTCATGAAATAATTATACTTGTATATTAATCAAACTTGTTTTTATAACATCTTGGGGTAAGTGTGTTTCAATTATATATTGATTTGTATTAAAGTTGTTTGATAATAGTCTATATAGAATGGTGGTCCCAACTAGTAACAGCTGGCAATACTGTTAGCATTATTATTAATACAGAGGAAATCTATTTTAATACAAATGTTTTTTTAACATTTGGTGATTTCTAAAATTTCAGCATCATAAAGTTCTCTTGTGCTTGCATATTGGAAAAACTTTAATATGAGGCCATTTGAAATGTACTGAGATTCTAGTTTTTCACAATGTCGGCTACTGAATTATTGTGCCATTAAATGTATTTCATGGATTTGATATTGGAGAAAAGATATTCTTTGACTATATTAAAAGCTTGTTAAGAATTACTTTATGGTTGGTGAAATTTGCAATCTTTCTCCCTAACTCCTACAAATAGCTACAGCAAGTAACATGTAAATATTATACAAGTGGTAACAAGAATAAAGAAAAACAATAAATAAATAAATAACAATAGTGGATACTACTCTTTGTGATTATTTTAAGAGATAATTTTAGTTAATATCTAGCTGTTAACGTGCAAAGGATATAAATTTTGGAACAATTTATATTTAAACAATTTGAAAAAAAAAGTAACTGGTACTTTTTTCTTTTAAACCCTCACCACATAGTGGCAGTTTTAAAGTGATACCTTTTGGGGTTTTTTTTTTTACCTATGTATCTAAAATATAATTAGAAATTATAATTATAAACTATGATATTATAATTAAAAACTATATTAAAATTAGCTTCCCAGCCAAATTTAATCTGCAGTATCAATCGCTATCTACTGTCCTCCTGATTACTCATTCTGCTCATTAATATTAATGTTTCTGTTCCTAATTTTTCCACACACTGTAACCCCTTGTGTCTTAGTGGCTTTACTGCCTTTCATGGAGTGATACTGATTTAAAAAAAAAAAAAAAAATTTTTAAGTTAAAATGTCACTGAAATATGTTGGAATTTCCTAATTTTCATCTGAAATCAAAAAAACTACAAACTTTAAACTAAATGGTCACAATGTATAGAAAAAGGTGTCAGTTTAACCCATATCCTCCTGGCGTCAGTATAAACTAACACCTTCTTTTCCATTATGCTGTTACTATTTTGATTAACATTCATATTTTCATGATTTCAGCTGAAAACTTGCAAATTTCTCAACATATTTCAGTCAAATTTTCACTTTCCAAAATCATAGCTTATTATCATATATGGAGTTAAAAGACAGGGTCAGTTTAAACTGATGCCAAGAGGATATAGGTGTATTAGTAAAAATGTAACCAGGATTTTTTTATAAGCGGAGAGTTCTTAAATCATTTCAAATAGTGTTTATCCTGACTGATTGATTTTAGTAACTGTTTCATAATGTTATACATGATTACAATGAACAGCTTAAATTACATTGCCTTTAATATTGTTTTTAAGATTAGACACAGTTTACTTAGAATTATTTTTATAGTTAAATGCAAGATTTTATTTTAATTCAGAAACTTAAGGTGACTGGTCATTTTATTTGTCTCTTCATAAGGTTATGAAGTGGATTCATCAAACCAAGCTTTACTAATAAAATAAATGAAAATGTATTAAACTTTTTATACATGTGGCTATTTTTTGTGTTTTTACAATCTTTTCAAGGTGCATAGAAATACTTAAATATTTGTGTGCAAATGTTTGCATTCCGCTGTGTATGCAAGATTTATATACGCACAAATGCATAGACAAAAATCTTAATTTTAAAAGACTATTATTGATTTTTTTATACTAATTTAAGGGTATATATTTTTCCAATCAGTGTTTTATTTAAAATCAATACATGAATAAAAGGGAATTGTTTAAAAATGCAGTTTGCATGGAATAATAGTTTTGACATACTTCCACTGAAGATCCACTTTTTAGCTCAATTTTTTAAAGTTTGTATTTTGAATTTTATTTGAAATTACTCTATTTTCATTTTTTTCTTCTCCTTTTTTTCTCACCCTCCTCTCTCGTTTCCTTTTTCTCACCCCCTCTCTTGTTTCCTTTTTCTCACCCACTCTCTCTTCTGTGGACCTCTCTTCCAGTTTCTTACTTTCCAGCCAACTTTGATCTTCAAAAGTCTAAGTGCAATGGCAATCATTATCTACTGTCTTTTTGATTCCTCTTTTATTGTTTTCGCTCCTTAATGTTTTTCTTTTACATTTGTGTCTTAGTGGCTTTATTGCTTTGCTAAGGGTGAAATGATTAAAAAAAAATAAGTTGAAGATAATTTCAATGCAAAATGTGGTTGTCTTTGTCATTATTACTTAAAAGTAGATTTCTATGGACTGTTCTTTACAGACAATTAGTTTTGAAAGCCTTTCTCAATAAGGAATTGACTGATTTTTTTTTGATTTTTTTGGTATCCAAGGATATTTTAAAGAAATTTCATATTTGAAAATATCAAATGGATAAACCGATTTTTATTAGGACAGTTAAATTCATTTTTTATTGTAGATGTTTTTAACACATTTTAACTGAGCCATATTTGCTGACTTCTTCAGCTGTATAAATCAAAGAAAGTCCCTTTTTTCTTTTTCTTTTAATTTTATGACAAAGGATGGTGCCAGAAAATAAGTCCCTAACATACCAACTAGATCAATTTTTAAATTTAAAAACTTATTTTTCCAACATTACAAATGTTACCGGTAGCTTTTTTTTTTCAAAAATTAGAGATTAATTTGCTTGAAAAAAATTTTTTTTTTTTTTTTTCTGCACTCTCCAAATAATTATAGATAGTTTAATTTAGTCTGGTTCAAGAAGGTAATAAGTTACCTACTAAGAACCTCAGCACTGACTTATAGCAGGAGCTTTTTTTCTGGAAGGTTACATATTTTGTTTTTCTTTTGGGTGGGATGGAAAGAATGAAGTGGGGTGTGGTAAAATGGGTCATATTGTTACTTGTTAAAATGGTTTTTGTTTATATTTGTATGTACAGAATTTTTCTTTTTTTAATTTCAAATATTTCTTACACTCACATACACGTGTGTAATTCCTTTTTATTTCTCTCCCTCCCCCTCGCTACACTGTCGGGTCTCTCTCTCTCACCCTGGCACCAAGCACCTGTTAATGATAACACTTGTCCTGACCGAAGACAGCTGTTATCCTTGGTCACTCTGTGATATCCCGACCATGTAATCAAACTATTTAACACAAACTAAATAAAACAATAACTAACAACACATTGCTCTGTCAACACATACGGATACCTCTCCACCCTCCTTCCCCGCCGCCCCACCTTTTTTTCCTTTTTGACGCAGAATTCTCTTATTTTTTATACAGGAGTTTTGAAAAAAAAATTTCCCAGAGTGGAATGAGATAATACAAAAAAATAAATAAATAGTGAACACTGCTTATTCATCATGCCTTCCTGTTAGGTCACTCACCCCCCCTTTTTAAATAATAATAATAAATAAATAAAAGTCGTGTAAGTTCTTGGGATGCAGTAAAGGGTTGAGGAGTGTCGATTGGGTTTATTTGTCATTTCACGGCGGTTATTTCGTGTGCATACAGTTACTCGGCATGAAAGTATTGCCCCCCCTTTTTTTTTTCTGTGATGATTGAAATGGTGACACAGTCAGCCGGAACGAAGTTCTCCCCGTCCGTCATGACCATGTGCACAACCATGTGAAATTGGACATTAAATAAATCGGTACCGTCAACCCACACACATACATACGAATTTATCTCCGTATCTCCGCTACATTGCCCCTTGACTTTTTCATTATCTTTCTTTAAATTTATTATTTCTTTAAAAAGAGATTGAAGAAGCAAAAAAAAAAAAAATGTTTTCCTTTCTGAACAAGAACGCGCATAAATCAATCAATCAATAATATAGTCAACGTACGATAAGATAAGTTGGCTAGTTTATTTGACTATGAGTACAGAGTTCGATCCTTACTTGAAGCTCTACATTTATTGACATTGTGCCAAATTCGGTTAAGCTTAGTAAATGACGACTCTATCCACTCTTCGCAAGTTAAAATAAATTCCTTTTTTCTTTTCTTTTTTTTTTCCCCCTTTTGGTTGGTGGGGACGAGTGGGGGATTCTTTCTCCGGTACAATTTGTGAGGTCGCATATAAAAGTTACCAATTGCGCTAATTACAGAGAACATTATTTAAAAGGAAAGGGCATGAGAGATTTTAAAATATATGTACTCAATAGGCAAATATTTTCAACCTACTTACTACTACGCTACTTTTTTTTTTTTTTTTTTGTGTGTGTATGTGTCTGTAATTCAGCTCTTACACACTGTCATTTTTTTCAACTTCTCTCTCACAGTCTTATTTTAATTGGAAGTATTTCCAAAAAAAATATTATCTTTACGTTTCTCGAGTACTTTGCCCATTACAACATAACATTGAATATTTTTTAAACTTTCAGTGTTGCTGAAAAGTGAAACGTATATTTCTTTTAGTTCTGATGATGAATAACGAAAGTGAAGAAAAGTTCTCGGCCTGATTAAGAATCACTCCAAATTTTTTAAAAAAATCGTCAGTTGGTTTTGGAAGTGGGTGAGATGAAGTACTTTCAGCACTCCATCATCATCATAACCATCACTTCTTTTACTTTGAAAGATCATTCCCACCCTACTCGTAATTAATTCACTATCAATAGTAGGGTGTTATTTTTAATAACATTGTTGTTATTTTAATAATCTTTTTACAAGAAGTTTCCTTTTTTCCCCTCCCTCTGAAATCATTATTTTATATTTTTTTGTGTTTCTTTTTGACATATTATTTTTATTTAGTAAATTATTGTCCTAATGGCGATTTATTTTATGCACAGTAACCAAAAAAATGAAGTTAAGCAGAGAGAGAAAATACAGTGTCTAATTAATAATAATGAAATGTATTTATTTACAAAAGGCCTTTTTTTTCTTTATAGGCCTTTTTGTTTTTAGATAAATCTTCGTCCACCCACTGATGTTTTTAAATGTGACCACCACCTTCCCAGCGGCAAGTCACTATGGCTGGACTTGGCCCATAATTTAAAAAAAAAATATAAGAAAGAAATAAGCAAAGGTATCACAACGTCAATATTAATTTAAATAAAATGTGACAGGTTCTCTTGGGTAATTTGTTGTCGGTTACAAGTCGTAATGTTTTCTTTCTTTTTTGCTATGAAACGTGAATTGATTCCCGCTAACCTTGTTCTTTGACTCTCAGGAATTGTGTTGGGAGATAAAGCACAAGTTTAAAAACGATTTTTAATTTAAATAAATCGCTCTGTGCTAGAAAGAAATAAACAATACGTATAATTTACTATTAGTGCCGATTTCTACAAAAAACAAAAAAAAACATTCCAATAAATTCGTTTTGAAATCCAGCAAAATATTTTGCTTATTGGAAATATTAAATTTATTTTAATCTATTAACTTAAAAATAAAACTAAAAATCTTCAAGAAAGATTTATTTTTAAAAATTCATTTTAATTTTTAAACCTTAGGTATCGGGGTTTTTTTTTTTTTTTTTTTTTTTAAGTGGGTATCTACGCAGGTGGTGTTGTCGGAATCCGTACCGCCGCTTTGTGTAGTGTCATAAATCAAGCATATGGTGTCGAGGCAACCTATCAAGATGAGCTGGAACTACTACTAAACGTCGTAAGGCCCCGGGTTTGACCTAGGGTAGATTATTTTGGAAAAAGGGGTATAATAGTATGGGTTTTTGTGTGCGAATCTACGGATATGCCTTGCACATGTACTCGTGTTTAAAGCCTTAAACATTTACTTTTGTGTACAAAAATCGGTGAAATAAATCGTATGTGGTTAGTTACGTCGTACAGAATCTTAATTCTTCTTCTTGGGCTATCCGCATTTTTAAAGTCTCGTCGTCATCATCATAGCGAGGTATTTAGTGGTTGACAGCCATCAGTTGAGGAATCTGTCTACTGATTGTCTCCTGTCCACTTAAGCTAGTAACATTTTTAAACTTCATTATTTGGTGTTACTGACAAGACAACAGTGAAGAAAAAAATGTGTAGATAAGCCAGGCAGAAACTATTGTAAGTTTTTGCATAGTACGACTTGTGGTGGTTAGGTATTTCTGTCAACCACTTGCTAAGCTACTGCTTTTGTGACTTTTATTAAAATTCAAAACAACGAAATGCAAGATTATATTTTTTGGCAATATCTCTTGATTCCTAAATAATCATTTTGTTTGTTTTTTTTTTCGATTTTGTCGAACTAGTTTTAGTGAATCACTACGCATAGCTTAGATGTGACACAAGGTCGCAATGATAGTGAGTTCGATCTTCACCCAATGAACGTCACGTCATATCATGAAAAAAGTAAAAACTTAGCTACTTCCGCATATGATGCAGAAGTGAGTTCGATCCTCACTGAACGCTACATATCTGTGGCCCTGTGCCAACCAAACTCTTAAGAAGATTTAGAGAGTAAATGATGTGGGTATCAACTTATAGTCAGGAATTTGATTTGTGTGTGTGAAGAAAAAGACTGTGTACTGTGTAAATTAATAATATCCATATATGGATTGGACTGAAATTGTGTTGTCTCCAAGGTCAAATAATTTGTACGTTGCAATTAAACGTAAGTGAATGGGTCACGTGGAGATTTGGATTTTAATTTTTAATGACAATTTTTTTTTCGCTTGTTACTATTCGACCTTGTGTATTATAAAAACAGTGAACCAGCTGTTGCTTCGAATGAAAAAGTCTTTTCTTATTTATCGTTAGAAATTCATAGTTTCAGAAAACTTTGGTAACATGTTTGCCATCGCTTGCGTTTTTAAACCCTAACCTCTTGAGGCACGTGCCTTGGACACGTCTGGGGCCCTTTATTGATTATACGAGTTTTTTTTACTGTTACATGTCTTTTTACTTTTTTAAGTCTTTTCTCGCTTAGAAAAAAATCTTATTGACTAAAATTACGTAAATAATCGATTCACCTTGTGTACCTTTTCGTTTTAGACTAGTAGAGACTCAAGAGAGTAACAATTTTATTATCCATTTCATTTCTTTTTAGCGCTAGACGCCTTTCTTTTTATTTTGTTAAACATACTGAAAATGAGTGAATTACTTATCCCCCCACCCCCATTACCTAAAAAAAAAAAAAAATTAAAAAAAGTTTACTTATTGTAAATAAAGTCACCTGTGGTGATGTAATTATTTTTAAATGTTATGGTCGGATGTTCAGGCTTTTTAAATAATTAATAATATTATCCACATTTAAACATTTTTAAAGCTTTTCTCAACAGCACAAGTGCTATGGCACTAAAAAAGTGATTTTTAAAGTAGACAAAATTTGGTGACCATCGGGACTTTTGTCTGAATGTGTCATCATGGGATGGTCAGGAAGAAATACAAAAAAATGTTGAAGTGTTTAACTTCTTTTTACTACATAAATAGAGCTGAAAATGTATTTTTTTAAACATGTTGTACCCCCCCCCATGAATACCTATCGTGGAATCTACAAGAAAATTTTATTTTTTTAGAGTTAACTTTTTTGTCTCAAAAGAAAACAAACTTGTAGGTAAATATTAAATAATTAGTGGCTCGACAACTTAAAATGAGGATGTTATAATATGTTAATTAAGGCATCAATAAACAATTTTTATGTTTTGAAGAATAATTCGTATTATTTGGAAATTTACATTCTGTGATTTAAATTAATAATTTTTCTTGTTTGATTTTATTTTACGTACTTTACTACATTTTATTTCTTAAATCGAATTCTTTATGAATAGAAATCTCTGTAAAAAAAATGTTAGCATCCATTCTTAAAGAGATTTTTTTTTGTTTTTTTTTATTTATTTTTAATCACCACTAAATATAATTATAATAATTTATTCGTGAAAAATAGTTTATTCAGCGGGGAGCTAGATAGTTTACTTTGAAGTATGACTATATAATTTTATTTTTAATTGAAAAATAATATAGTGAACTGTGAATAATGTTTTCTTTCTTTTCTTCATATTTTTTTTTACTACTTTTTTTTTTTTTTTTTTTTTACCTGACCATAAGTTCAATCAATGACTTTATAATTTTGCCGATGCTTATAAAAAACATAACAATATGAAAATTGAAAATTCTGGCTCCGTTTCAATTAAAAAAAAAAAATGCCACTGTCAAACTCAAATATTTGTCCCGGATTCTTTGTCAGTCGTTTAAAAAAAAAATGTATTTAGTTGGGTCGATCTTATTAGAATCGCGCAGCAATTTTTTTTTTTTTTTTTTTAATTTTATATTTAGTTTTACCTAAGCTACCAAGATATGTTGACAATTTATTTTTATTAATATTTTAATTTTGTAAAACAAAAGAGAGCATTTATCTTTACTTTATCAAATTAAAAAAAAAAAAAAAATCAGCCAAAAATGAAGTTTCATAGCGGGCGTGTTGTTTTCGAAATTGTATGACTCTATTATGGAAGCCTAAAATTACCATAATAATTAACTAGAGACTGTTATTTAAAAAAAAGAAAAAGTAAAATAAATAAATAAATAAAAATATGCAAAAATATCGGAAGTTTTTCTTTTTTAACTTCATAGCATGTTTTATTAATTAATTCTATGGCCGGAAAATTATTTCAGTATAAACAAAATTTTATACAAGTAAAGAAAGGTTTTATTTTAAAATAAAATCACTTTCATTTTAAAAAGTTTTACTTTTCAGTACAAATTCTATAGATTGGTAATTGGTAAAACTTTAGACTTTTTTGTTGAGATTCAAACAGTTGAATAACCTATAAAAAATAAAAATGGTCTCTTAAACGTGTTGAGTTTGTTTTGTTGATTTTTTATTTAAAATAAAAAAGCATCTTTATTTTCAATTTACCGCCTCTCACGATGAATCGCCCGTTAAAACTTATCCATTAATGTTCGTCTGGAATAATGACAAATTAAAAATGAAATGTATTAGTTTCGAAGTCAAAGGATAAAGGCATGTTTTGTTTTTTGTTTTTTTTTAACTATTTAGTAATAATACTTTTTAAATGTAAAGCACCAATTGTACGTGTGTGAAATAAAAAAAAAAAATCTCGTTAAAGTGGAAAGCATTGCCTTTCTTTCTCCCTTTTAGTATTAAAAAAATAAATCATGTTAGCTTTTTGTTGTTGAAGAGAAACTCGTTCCACTTGGCTAAATCAAGATGTTTCATTCGACATCACTGCAATTATACGAATGAACTGTGTAGGAGAGAAAAAGAAAGAAATAATGTAGATATTTATTGGATGTCTGTGTTTTCATTCTTTTCTATTTGATCGGATAAATGTCTGTTACATAGTGGCGTGAATCTGTTGCTCTGTCGGTAGTCCCTGTAGGTAAGAATAGCATAGCATATGTTTGAGAGTGGATTGTAGAACAGCATTGAATTATTTGCTGAATGCCTGATGATGATGCTTCTTACCTACCATAACTGAAAAAAAGAAGCCTTTCATAGCGAAAGGCCTCTTTGTTGAACTTAACCATACTCTGCAACCCCTTTTATTAGCCAACAGCGGTCTTCTGTTTTACCAACCTGCGATGTTTTTTTATTTTTGCTTTTAGTTTTAAACAGTTTTTTTTGTTTGATATTTCTCAATTTTATTGGTCGATTTATCTTCAGAATATGTAATATAAAATTTGGTGGATAAAACTTTGCTCCAGATATTGATTTTTTTTTTTTTTAATTTTTTTTATTCTATATCCCCCAGTCGTCATGCGTTATTTTGGGGCTTTTTTTTTTTTGTCTCTCTCTCATATATATCCTAGTTTTTGAATATCAATAAAACACTTTTTTTAACACTTCAGATGATAATATGGATATTTCTTTTTTCTTTTTTTTTTTTTTTAACTCACTAAAATAAATTAATAAAAAAAACACATTTTAAGATTACCGAAAAATTATCCCGATTGTGAAAATTAAAAAAAAAAAAAAATCACTACAATAATAATGAATAACTTCATTATTTCTGCTGCTGGTGATGATGATGACGATGGAAATATAGGTTACCACGAAAGCATCATCGTCTCTGAGAATTTATACATACTGATTATACAACTGAAAATGTTTAGTGGCGGGCTGTTTTAATAATTGGTGGGGGTCGAGTTTGTTTTCTATTATATTTTTTACAATCAATGAAGTGTCATCTTGGTTCAGTTTCAATAACCTTGGGATTTTGGGTTCTCTCTCTCTCTCTCTCTCTCTCTCTCTCTCTCTCTATATATATATATATATATATATATATATATATATATATATATTTCATGAATCTCTCTCTCTCTAGAAATAGAGAGATTTCTGTTCTCACTCACATGCAATAACTTCTTTTAAACAATCATTTTTGTGGTTTTTGTTTTTCTATATTAGCTGTCAGATCTTTCCGAAATTCTCAAAAGATCCTGACACGCACTTGACATAAATAAATTTTTACTTGGTAATTTTCACATTTTAGAATTGAAGTTACAAATAACTTTTAAGGGCAACAAGGCACAAGTTATGTGCCTTGGTCTTGATACGTTCACTAATGTATTTGACGTGCAAAATTTTGGTTTAGTGTACAGTTACACTGTACAATTTCTCAGAATTTTGTAAATTATTGTAATTGCATTTTGAAGTGCGTCTTTGTAACACTTACAGTGTATAATACACTGTAAGTGTTAGACTCACTTCAAAATGCAATT